CCTCCTCTTCCTCTTCCTCTTCCTCTTCCTCTTCCTCTTCCTCTTCCTCTTCCTCTTCCTCTTCCTCTTCCTCTTCCTCTTCTTCTTCTTCTTCTTCTTCTTCTTCTTCTTCTTCTTCTTCTTTTAACTTGCTTTTCAAGATAGAGTTTCTGTGTCCTGGAACTCACTCTGTAGACCAAGCTGGCCTCAAACTTAGAGGTCCTCCTACCTCTGCCTCCTGAGTGCTGGGATTAAAGACGTGCGCTACCACGCTGAGGTCCACATCTGTTTCTTGCTTTCTTTTGAACCTTTCAAGCAAGGTTCACCTTGGGACACACAGAATGGATCAGACATCAAGTGCATGAGTAGAGAAATGGATAGGGCACGGCTGATGGTTTAGTTGTAAACTGTGGAAGGAGGCTAACACCAGAGGATTGGGGGTTCAAGGCCTGCCTAAGCCATGGGCTCTACAGTAAGAACGTGTCTCAAAACTCAAACACACACACAGTGCAAACAAGCATGAGAAAACAAAGCACCTCCTCAGAAGACAGTGGGAAGCAGAGTGAGCTCAGGGCTGTCTGAAAGAAGAGTTTCTCAAATGTCCCTGAGAAAGGGGGTTAAGAATGAACCTCCAAACCTACAGGATCTCCACAACACAGGACAATAGGATGTCCAAGAGGAGGCCCAGTATCAGTGGCAGAGCAGAAGCCAGAGGCCTCCAGCAGGACCAATGACTCAGGCAATGAACATTTGCAAGTAAAGATGGATGGACTAAAGGGTGAACTGGGTGACTCGGGGCCATACCACAGCTGCCATGACAACATTCTTCTCCCTTTTTTGTTTGGTTTTTCTGTTTTTTTGTTTGTTTGTTTGTTTTGTTTTGTTTTGAATTTGGCTTCGTTTGGGGGAGGTTGCAAGAGCAGAGGGCAGATGTGAGGGGAAGAGGAGATAAGTGGGATCAGAATGCATGATGTGAAACCCACAAAGAATCAAAATTTAAAAAAGGGATGACTGAGTGAATATGGGAATGGAGGAATTACACAGATATGGGTCAAGACAATGGGTGAAAGTGTGAGGTGCGGGTCTGTTTAACTGTGAGAAATATATCTACTTATGAGCCGAGTCCGAGCTCTAAAAGGAAGGGTCTGCTGCTTCCCGAGGCTGCACGGGGAGTCGCAGGCTGGACCACCACGGGCTGAGTGATTATGACACGAAGATGACTGGACACAATTTCCAGAGACGAGGCTGACAAGAGCTCCTACACTTAAAAATCCTCCGAATCGGGATGGTGAAAGCAGATAATCACCTCCACAGGCCTGAGTTCCTCTATCTCTTACTTGAGAACAGTGTTTCACACGTGGATCAATGAGTGTACTACCACATAACGAAAAAACCCAAACTAAAATAACACTTTGTTCTTAAGACATTAATACTTACTACAGATTGAAAGTATTCAGGAGAGATGCCCTCCAATTCAAGGATTTTATCTTCAAGCTTTTTAATTCTCTGATAAATGTCTCTTGGTACCGGGCCACCTAAATTCATGGGGGAAAATGCTAAAATGTTAATAATTCTGTTTTACCATTTTTATTCTTAAAATACCATGCAAAGACATAAGAATGAAAACCATTTAAACTTAAGAAAAAAAACAGATGAAAGCAAAATCAAGTGAAACCCTTAACTCATGGTTTCAGTCTTAGTTACAGTTTCACTTTGAATTCTGAGACAAATTACAGACTTCTGCTTTCTAAATACTGTTTGTGCGTCCCACATTGCTACAAGATTTCTACAAACTTCATCTTAGGGGACACCCAACAGCTTCTGTGTAGACAGCAGCGTTTCTAAGAGGGTGGCAGTCACTTAGAAGGACAAATACTGCAGAGACAGGACGACAGTCCCGCTTGATGGCTGCGCTTCCCCATCATTTCCTTCACCTTCTCCTAGCGTGGGTGTCTCTCCTCTGACCTAGAAAACCGGTTCCACGGGCTTTCTCACAACTCTCAACTGAAGTTCTGTGGGAGATCCTTGGACATCCGGGTCGTTACTGGATTCAGAACCTCTCTACTCCTTCAGGCATTGCCACCGCGACCTGCCTGGTCCAGACCACAGTCTCCCTGCTAAGTGCGGAGGTGGCTGTGTGTTTGGGAGCGACAGAGAACTAGTCAAGAAGTTTTAGCTGGGTAGAAACAAGAGCAGATATGAGCCTGAAAATCTACAACTTGGTCACAGGGTGAAAAATGACCTAGAGGAGGAGACGACAGCAGCTTCCTTGATGGCAACCGCTGTGAGAGGGAGAAGGGGCGTTCAGAAGGAGAGTCAAGCCCACGGAGACTGAACAGGTGGCACTGTGTGTGTGTGTTCCAGCTGTCACTGCTCTAACCTCCTGGGCAAGCTGCTTGAGCGCTCTGGACGTCAGTGTTACCCCCTTCCCAACAGTACCAGCACCTACCTCCGCAGGGTAACGTGAAGTGCTAGGCTGGCACAGGCGTGACACTTCCACAGACAGGCTGTTCTGTCTGTTCAATAAATACGGGGTCATTTCCCCATCCATGGGACTTACTCATTTGTATGTTAATCATCAGGAGTGCACTGAGGACCAGGACCACATTTATCTACATTTTGTAGCTGACGGAGGGGCTAATAACAATTAGAGGTAGTCATACAAGTTCTGAAATTAGCCATAGCAACACCTTACATTGATTTTCTGTTGTAACTTCAATAAACCGAGGCTAACAGAATCTGTTTAGAATTTGTTTCCCAATTAGAAAGTGGCAAGACATATTAAGGAGAAGCAGCTAACCACCGAGAACTTCAGCAACTGTTTCCTGCTCCTAGAATGAGGGCTGTACAATGGATGTTCAAGGAGAATCCGGAAGCCACAGGAATCTAACTTCTTAAGACTTGCAAAGGCACATACAGAACATCCCCTAACTCTCTCCTTACCCGTCTGCAATCGCAGGTGAGCCTCGATGTTCTGGAGTCGTTCTTCCACGGCCTGATTTCCACAATCTCGAAGCATGCCGGTAGGTTTGTGACCTGACCCTGGAATTCCTTCGGGTCTAGTCTGTGGCCCATATGTATTCACAACTCTAGAAACTAAGTTAAGAAACTTTAAGCTTATGTGAGTTTATGTTTCAAAAACAGAAATTCTCTCTCCCTAACAGTATATTTTTTCCATAATGATCACCTAACCAAAAGCTCAAAAAGGAAGAAAGGCAATGTTTTGTTTCAGAATTAAGGTTAGATGAGAAGCATTTCTATTCCATACTGTTATGAGGCTACAACAGACTTCTGCCAGGGACAGACATTGTATGGTGGCTACTTACCCTTCACATGACTTTTAAATCCAGGGTAAGGAGTAAAGATGGCATCAGTTCTGGCACAACTATTTTCTAGGGAGAATTTAGATAAATTTAGACCAAATACAGTCTTAATTACAAATGTATGAGATTATGATAAACTATTAATTCATATTTTACTCATAGGAGAATTAAAAATAAAAGCAATAATAATTACATTACTATCAAATACAGAATAATTTTGGTGGTCTTTACTCTCTGAATTGAATCACATGTAATATTTTTTATCTAATGTTCAGATTTACATATAGAAAAACCTTTAACATTAAGTGACATAACTTCTGATAATTTTTTTAAAAATTAGTTATTACTAAGAACCACTGACCTTTGGAGAAAATAATTCATATATTCTAGAGCACCATATTTTAACTCCATTATATAAACAGAAGCCAATTTACCAAATTATCTTTCAAAACTAAAAGCATTTTTGTTATTACCAAATTAATGAACATCTAACGGATGAACCGATTGTCTATTTTATACTTTTTTTTTAAATCTCAGAACTCCAGATAAAAAAAGACCCTGAAGCCTCAAGTGCAATGCACATTGAAACCTCAAGTACAGCATACACTTTCCCTCTGTTCCTAGATTTCCAATGTTCATTGAAAAAGTCCAGATCAAAAAGGCATCACTCTTCTCAATCCTATTTTTTAAAAACTATAATTTTAAAAAACATAGGTTGTGAAAATTTTCCCAATATTTTTATCAAGGTGAAAACTATAATTTCTTTTAAATGATGTATCAACAAATAAGTTATAAAAAAAGAAGTTAGAAATATGTTAACGATATATACTAGTAAATATTAGCACAACTGTAATATATAAACACACAGTATATAACACAATAACATATAGAAATGTGCTAGTACTTGAAGTAACAGTAAAACTACAATTGGCAGTAAATTTTCTGATAAATTCCCATCATTTTATAAAAAATGGGTATAAAATGAGTTAAGTCTTTTGTTATTCCATGAAATCTGATTTTTAAAATTTTTTTTCTTAGACCAATTGAAAGGTTTTTAAAAAATATACTAACAAATTAAAACATATTTTTGAAGCCTAAGTTTAACACATCTGTGATAAGTCAAACTGTAAATCAAATTGCAGACCCACTTAATCTTGCACATTTAAGGACTAAACAGACTCATTTTCTTTACCTTGGAAACACCTCAAAATATATAAGGGGCCTACACTTCTCTATTCTTTTTATCCTTTCACTGGTCTAAGGGTGTTTAAAAAAAAAAAGTTATGATCCATTCCAGGGCTCTATTCCAAATGCACAGACCATCAGAGAAATGCAGCGTGGTGTGGGGACAGTGAATGCCTGAGAGCTAGTCACTCTCCACAGCAATTCTTGCTAGCACTGTTTTGAGCCAGCAAGGGACTGAATGGGCCAAGGAATCCTGCTGAGCATTTCACTTCTTGTCAATTTCTATCCCCTGATGGTTTATAATAATAGAGTTAGCAGGAAGAACAGAGGAGCAACATTAGTGACACAGGCACTCAGCCCTCAACAAACCTTTCTCTTGAGGGGCATGCAACTGGACTGTCGAACCTGAGATCTGCCACCCTCACACCTGTCCTAAAAGGCTAAATCCTGAGAGCCACAAAAGTTCAAGTAGAAAAAGGGAAATTTAGAACCCAAAGTGAGCTTACATTACTATGTTAAGAGCACCCTGTACCAATGTGATTATGAGTCACTTACAGGTTCAACTGACAATTCCATGCTTATAATCATCAGCCAAGAGAGAGGAAAGGCAGTAAGAAAAATGTCGAGTCCAGTTATGAACCTTTCTCCACAACGTTTTTCTAAGAACTATATGCACTGGTTCTTACAAGGATAACTAAATATGATCTATGGCAGTGTTCCACAGTCTAAGGTGTTCTGCAGGCTCACTGCAGGACCTGAAACTCACCGTAGCATCAAATGAAGAGGGAAAGGAGACTGATGAAATACAGCAAATGTAAGCACAATAAAAAAGGGAAAAAGCCTAAACTCCACAGTCTTCATGGCAAGCAGGATATCTCCATGATGAAACTCAGGAGTAAAGAGAAAACTGCTCCCTCTTGAAGAATGCTGTCAACTTTACTAAGGTCACTGGTACATTTACAGACCTGAAAGTCACACTGCTTTGTTCTTTCCTAACAGTGAGTCTGCACAACCCTGCCATCCAGCGTCCACCTTCACTTCCTAAACACACTTACACCTTCTCCTTCCTATGGGAAACATTTGTCTCTATAGTTTACCTTCACTTGATTCTTGTTTAACCAAAATGAAAATCAGCTTGACAACACAGTCCATTGCTAAACAGAAGAAAATTCCTATTGCCTTAATTACCAACTAAAAACTTGTAAAACTGAATTTTGTTCTTAATGTTATTCATTTTTAAAACAAAATATTACAGCAGTTGTCAAAAATATTTAAAGTCTTATAAAAATAAACTTCTAGTTACCTTGATTACAATCAATAACATTGCAAAATTCCCTGACGTTGTTCTCATTGATTTCAGCTTGTTTTCTTTCAATAAATGCAGATATTCGTCTGTCAATCTACAAACAACAAATATTTTAACAATCAAACACAACAGAACTTTTAAAAGTAATGTCCCCTGCACCACCCAAACTTACTTCTGCTTTGCCAGCCTTTATCTGAACTACTTCTGGATCGAAATGGATTTGTGTCTTTTTCACATCTACATCACAGTCTTTGAGCTTTCCTTCATCTTGTAGGTCCCCAATGGGATGCTTAGCATTTACTTCCCTCTTGGTCTCCGTTTCTGTCTGTCTTATCTCTTCAACTGCAGTTGAATTCTCTTTAATTAAAGACTGAAGTTTTGCTAAAAAAGGCTGAAAAGAACACAGTGACATCTGCTCAGGTTCAAATTAACTCAATTAGTGATATATTTATATAAACTGATGCTGAGTAAGTGAATATTATCAGTTATTAAATACAAAAAGCTGGCACACAAGGAAACGCAGGTCTGACCACACACGTGTTTACTGTTTTCTACTACTGTTGCCTTATCGTTTGCTGTAAAAATTATTTAAAAAAAAAAAAGAAAGAAAAAGAAAACCTGAGGAAATTTAAATGTTCTTTGAGAAAATCATCCTGTCACTCTTTTATTTTGTGCCAAACCAAAGCCTTTAGTCTCTGGCCTGGGCGCCTCTTAATGAACACGTCACTCAGAGCCCTAGGCTCCCTGTTCCCCCTCCTTAGCAGGGGAGCAGCGTCTCTCACTCAGCAACGCCCTGCATTATCACAGGGTCTGGAGACTCCACTTCCAAGTGCAGCTGGCCAAAAGGAATGGCAGAGCATGGCCATGAAGCATATAGGTGTCACACTAAGTGAACCTTCAGCCCTGTTCTGACATAGCAAGTATCTTATTAGGTCAGGAAATGGAAATTTTATAAAGAAAATGAACAATGGGAGAAAAAAGAAAAAAAAAAAAAAGGAACAAAACAAACAAAACAAAACATGCTACAAAGACCCCAAATGGAAACAGATCATTCTAACTAGAGTAGATTTAAAAAAAAAAAAATGCTTCTTCATAGTGGAAATTCACCTACTTCTGGTCTTCCTAGCCATCCCCACCCCAATATGGCCCACAACTGAGTTCTACAGCTCATCACCTGCCCTTTAAACAAACTGTTACCTTATTTAATGAATGCAGGGCTGAAAATTAACACATTATTCCTAAACAACATCCCAAGCGTCTTTTCATACAATTTTGTTTGTCCCATTGTTTACTCTGCCGAGTACTCCTCGGAAACCTTATGACATCTTCAACACAGGACAGTGACCGGGAGGGAGAAGCAGCTCTGCTCATCCCTGAGGCTTCACATTTCACTTTGATTAGAGGAAACCTGCAACTCACGTCAATTACACTCGCAGAGATGTTCAACAACAACCAGCAAGGTCATAACACTGTTCATTCCTTAAACTGAAATATTAAAAAATGTAACAATACTATTATAAATAATTCAATATTGACTTCCAATATCAAGGATAAATTATTTCAAATTATTAAAGGAAACAGTGACTGGCTACTCACTAAGATGCAACATTAATGTCACAGAAATGACTTTCTTTTTAAAAACTATGCTGAAACTGTTTAATTGCAACAGACACTCCAGGATGTGTCATGCTGGGATAATGCCACTTCTTGAACCACTGAAAGCACTCCATGAGCCTCCAAACTCACCCAAGGCATGGAATCATTATCATAGCATGACTCACACCTGCCGTGTCTTATTGCTTAATTATAACCCACCAGAGATGAACTGTATTGAATTTTCAGCAAAGCCTAGAATTGAATAGAATTGCATTTATTCAATTTCATACCCACATCGGCCTATTGGGCTATATTCTCATAACTATCTGGAGTGAAATGAACAGACTTAGACTCAGTATAGATTTAGGTAACCTTTTATTAATAACACTATTAGCAGAGTGCTGAGGTAGAACTGACAAATACTGCAGCTTATTTAACTGTAATTAATTTCTATTTCACTATCCCAGTAAACATTTCTAATATGAAATTTACCTGTAAATACAAAACGTGTTGTTCAAGTGCAGTGAGAAGCAATGCAGGCTGGGATGCTGAGAGGCTCTGGAGCCTGTTCCAATCGATTGTAATTTTCACCACATCATCTCTGAGGTTAAGCTTCAAAGGAGCAAACCAGCAACATCACAAAAATTACACGATTAAGCTGTATATCTGGGATTATCACAAAAATAAGATTTCTATGGAGTAATACATGCCTATTTTGCTCAAAGTTACTAAGTTTCAATGACATAATAAAATGCTTTACCTAGATGCCATTTAAAAAATCAAAGGGTACAGCTTTGAAAAAAATGAATAAAAATCTTATTATTCTAATTCTGTTCCTATGGTTGTATAATGGGGCTATCTTTGAGGAGAAGCCACCCATGGAAGATAAAAAGACGGTCCTCTTTTGATACTTTGGTATCTAAAATACCTTTGGAAGGTGTCCCAAAATAGGTCTGCCCTAGTCGGAATCCTACTAATTCCAACTAAGCATCCACAGAGGAAGCACAGCTGCTTTCCAGAAGTTCCAGAAAGTGCATTCTCTTTGTTGCATATCACACAAACACATGCCTAAAATAGTCATTATCTCCAAGGCTTCTCACTTTTATTGTTTTCAAATTTAACCAATTTAAAAAATATTCAAGATTATTCACACATAGGGATAGATGGCAGTAACTACTTCAAATAAAAAACAAAATATCAGTTATGAAATTGTTGAGCTGAAAAAAAGTACTTTTCCATAGCAGCATAACAAATTGCCAGAACTGGATGTCCAGTGTTTCCTAAGGATTTTCTAAAAAACTGTAAGTCTCATTACATGAAAATTTCTCATCAGCTAGTGAGTCATTAGAACAAAATTATAACCAGAAAACTACCAAGAACCTGGATATTTAATTAATATCAAAATCAGTCAAAACTTTAGAGGGAGAGACTTTCATCTGTAATCACTTGACTGAGTATGAGGGAATCCCTATAAACTTTTCTAAGGACATGTGTCATAGCATCATATAAGGACATACTCCATAGTGGAAGCAGGTTAATTATATCTTATTTTGCAAGAATAACTTATTGAAAATTAGTCATATTTTTCACAAAGTAAAGATACAAGTTTCATGAGTTCAAATATAAATCTAGTAAGTTGTAAGAATAAAAAACCAAAACATGAATCACTGTCTATGGAACCAAAGAAATCTCAGGTTCCCAAAATAAGTACTCTATTTTATAATGGATATAGACACTTACTGCTGAGACAGAAGCATCTGAAGTCCATATTTGGCAGACATAAAGAAATATGAAATTATACATAGGCTATACTGGCAAAGATAAGCTTATAGCTAAGTTAAGATTTGACATTAATTAGTAAGATTACTGAATTCACTGTGTATGAAAGTAATCCATCAGCATGTGCTTATAGTCCTCCAAGAGATCTATAGTTGATTATGACAAATTTTCGATGGTGTGGGGGGAAAAGCAGGCAAACCTTAAGCCAGAGCAAAGTATCACATTCTCTAGAGAAAATAACTGTAGAAAAGAAATCTTAATGGTTGGGTCATATTCTCATGCCAATTCATCAGAATTATGTAAGTCTTCAAAGGCAACTCAAGATACTTGGTCTCTTATGGAAATCAAACCATAATGTCATAAATTAATTTAAAAATGACCCCCAAATACATCCAATTATTCATTCAGCAAATTCCTCATTAACAATATGAATTCTATGCATTTTAACCCATAACTCTTGGAACAGTAACCAGGCATTCAAAATTTTCTATTAATATGCTATTAACATAGATTATTCAATTATGTATGTTCAGTAGAAACATTAGTATTTAAAAAAACCTAAGCTAACAAATCTTTAGCTTGATAACATGGGCCAATGAGAGGAAAGAAAAAGGTTAATATTAGTATATTTTGCATTTGGAGGAAAAATACTTTTTAACAATTCAGTTTTATATTTTCTATTTAAAAGCACTAATAATTCAATGATACTTAGGATGAACTAAGGCATATTGCAATTTACATCTTAAAAATCCTTTTAATTTGTTGCAAAAGGACACACTCCCCAGGGACAACTTTATAAGTGTGTATGGCTTAAATCATACACCTCAAAATATTTGATATTATTAAAATTGCATGTAATTGATTTTTTTTAAATCTTATATTTGACATTGTATAGAGGTTCCTTTACTATGTTATGAAAACTTCATTTTCTCTAAACATTTTTTGGCAGATGCCATAAGTTAAGATTTAATCATTTTTTCATTTGAACCTTTGGAATAAATTTATGTCATTTTGAAAAATTCAATAAGCAAAATACTTTAGATGTTCAAACCATTTATCGATGTAAATTATTTTTGCAACTTCTAAACATAGTAGACAAGAATATTTTTTCTCATCTTGACATTAGAATATGAATGAGTAAGTCATTAAGCTCCAAATCAATGCCCAAAAAGTTCTCTGACTGTGAACTATTTAAAGATCTGGGATATTACCACTGAAATGTTAATAAGGAAAGTGTTTAAGACTTTGAAAAAAATTGGTAAATTCTTATTAAGCAATTGAGTTTAAAAGTTTTGATTTTTGGAAGACCATTACTAATTGCCTCACAACACCAAACAATGTACAACTCAAAGTAGTTTGCCAGTCAAAACAAATGTACTAAGCTTTTACATTTTTTATTAAAATAACTTTTTACAAGACTAATTCTTCATCCATCTAAGGGTTTTAAAAAGAATTCTCACAGATCAGGGAACTCCCTCTTGTCACGAGTACCACTGCTCCTGACACAATGTGTATTGTTTCCATTTCATGCACTAGACCAAACTAGGAAACGTGTTTGACAGAAAATATTCTTAAAAACAGGCAAACATACTTTTGCTCCTTATTAAAAATTAGCTTCATTATATCATGGATTACTTTATCTAGTACAGTGAAGGAACCTACTTTTTAAAATCCAATTTAACTATGACATTTCCGCAAGAACAATTAGCTAATAGCTACACGACAGTAGTAATAAAGTTAGAATTGGCCATATATAACTCATCCAACAATTTACACTAAAATTCAGGCACATTACAAGGTTTATTTCAGAAATCCTTAAACATCTTCCATGCCCCTTTTTGAAGAGTAATAGATGCCATAAATAATAAGAAGAGAAACAAAACACAGAGTTAAACACCCCCTAAAGAGTGGAGATGGCGCTAGGAAAAGTTTCAGGCCATACTAACCAATTAATTTCTGCAATAAATACACCGAAGGCAAAAGGACCGGACTGTAAGCGCCAGGGGCCTCCTTAACCCTCCCCATCTCTGATGCATCGATTTTCTGCAAGCGTTCGGCGCCAGGACCCGGGTTTTCTCTGGAACCTGGTACTCACGCTCGGCCATCGAGTGTGCCGCTGGCCTCTCGCGGGCCCAGGCAGCTGGGCCCCGGGCTCCTCCCGGGCTCCTCCCGGGCTCCTCCCGGCCTCGGCAGCCGCGGCCTCGGCATCCCGGCTGCACACACCCCCGCCTCCGGGAGGACGGAGAGGAGAGGACCGGGATGCTCCCCGCCCCCCGGCCCCGCCGCACCTCCACTCACCTGTCCAGTCAGGGTGTGCAGGGAACGAAAGAGTTCGCAGAGCACCTCGCGGGTGAGGAGGGGGCTGGAGCTTCCTTCCAGGCTCCTCTCGCTGCTGCTGGAGGAACTGGGCTCCGCAGCAGCAGCCATGACACCTCCACAGCCTCCCCGAACCGCGGCCGAGAGGGCTCGCACCCGCCCCGCCCTCGCGGATTTCGTCGCCCCGAGATGACGTCAAAACCACGGCGTCTCCTTTAGCGCTGGGGGCAGGCCCCACCCTCTCCGTGTGACAGACACGCACGACGACCAATCAAGAGCAAGATATCTGCGCTCGGAGGGAACGTGTAGTGCTGACTAGGGCGAGGCGGGCCTCTCTGGTGGTGTTCTCCGTGGGTCGCCGTGGCTCGGAAGTGTGCCTTGGCCCTTAGGTGCTCCCTGTGAATTACTGCTAAGGGTTAGAATTTGAGTCCCGCTAGTAGAATTTAAAATGTTAACATGGCGATGTGGAGTTGTCTTGGGAAAAGATTGTGGGTCCGCGATGATGGAACGGGGCTTCCGTGTTTGCAAATATTGGAAAATTCACCCAGGATGATCGTAACCGGATAGAACATTTTCATCTCTACAAGGTTATTTGACACGAAGAATGTAAGAAAAATAAAAGGGCTACGTTATGCCTCATTTTCCTACCAGGAAAGGACATTGATGACTACATCTGCAAAATAGTTTGCCAAGTTTCTAACACGCAACAGTTTGTCAGTCTAATAACTGGGCACTCAATCCTAAAATTGTTTTACTATAAATCCAATAGAAATGTAAACCAACTAATTTCATGTAACCACACTCTTTCAAATGGATGCAGAAAACTAAATCGACACTTGTCGGGTATTAGCTTTATTATAACTGAAAAAGTTATAATTTTATAATGTAGAGTTCTATTAAAATTTTAAAGCAAGCTCTTAAGAGATAAAGGATGAAAGAGTTAAAACTTGCTAGGTGATGGTGGCCCATGCCTTTAATCCCAGCACTCTGGAGGCAGAGGCAGGCAGATCTCTGAGTTCAAGGCCAACCTGGTCTACAGAGCGAGATCCAGGGCAGCCAGGGTTGTTACACAGAGAAACCCTTAAAAAAGCCGGGCGGTGGTGGCACACACCTTTAATCCCAGCACTTGGGAGGCAGAGGCAGGCGGATCTCTGTGAGTTCGAGGCCAGCCTGGCAAAGCTACATAGAGAAACCCTGTCTCGAAAAACCAAAGGGGGAAAAAAAAAGATTTAAGTCCTCATCCTGATAGTTCAGTGCATTTAGCATGCAGGAAAGGAATGGGCTTAGTGTGTATTCTATAGTTTGAGAACAGGCTGAAGGAAGGAAGAAATAAGGAACCAAGGGACACTGGGATAAGGATAGTGAAAAATGAAAGAACTCCTTTGACTTGTCTGTAAGGAGCCCCTTACTCAGTTATTTTCAAAGACTTCTGTGATCATCAGATTTAACAGAATCTTGAGAAAGCTTGCCTGTTTCCTTGCTAGCAGTGAGATGTAAAGCTTGTAGCACACCTATGTTTGGAGATAGAGCCTTCAAAGATTTAAACCCAAACCAAGCAAACTTCTCATTCAAGTTAATCGTCCTTATAGCTAATAGAAACTCACAATTCGTTGCAATGTTAGCACATTTTTGTCCGTGATTCTTTTGTTAGTGGGGGATAATTGTAATGGGAATCTAAGAGTCCTTGTTCTGTGCCAAGAAATGAACTTGAAATTTTTTTAGGCAATAAAGGACTTTTCATTACATATTTGGGAATGATGAAGATGCTGCTCATTCTTTTCTTTGTCATGACTGATTTTGAAATCCAAGCCTTTAATTTCACAATTTTTATTTTTAATTTATGTGTGTGACCGCGTGCGTGCGCACAAGTGACCAAGGAGGCCAGAAGCATGGGATATGAACTGCTCAGCTTTGGTGCTTGGATTCAGCCTCCAGCCCTCTCTACAAGAACAGTTGCATCCCCCCCCCACTCTCTCTCTCCCTCTCTCCCTCTCTCCCTTCCCAAATTCCAAGTCTTACTTGATTTCTTTTTGTTGTTCTTCTGTTGTTTTAGTTTTTCGAGACAGAGTTTCTCTGTGTAGCCCTGGCTGTCTTGGAACTCTCGGTGTACACCAGGCTGACCTCAGACTCAGAGGTCACCTGCCTCTGCCTCCCAAGTGGTAGGTTTAAAGGTGTCACCACCACAGCCAGCTCCTTGCTTGATTTCTTGAACCCCCAATAGAAGGATAACTAATGGTCATTTGATTTATCTGTCAATTATCTAATAATTCTGTTATTCGAAATCCAGACCTGCACTTGTGTTTTATTATTGCTTGCTTAGATAATTCTTAGAATGTAACTCCTCCATGAATTATGTCATCTGTCTTGACATCTTGTATTCCTTCCCGCTGCCCAGTGAGCTCATTTCAGACACTTTTCTTCTTTTATAATAACAGCTTCTATTTTAAGTTGAAAGCTTTATAGGACAAAAAAGATGTGGATTCCCTTGAGCTAACTGCAGAAAAAATGTATAGATACTAATGTATAGCAAACGCATAATAAATACTGAAATTTAGAAAGGGAATAATTTGCCCTTTATAGAAAACTAATTACAGTTTATGAAGTGGGCTCTGAAAAATCGGCTGCTCAGCAGAAATGCTTCAAAGTGTTGATGTTGGCATTAGCAGCAGAGCTAGAGCACTGTCCTGCAAGCTTATGCCAAGAAGCAATTGAGAGGATAGGAATTAGACATGAAATCTAGGCTAGCTCCTTTATCAACAAAAATGCCTTTTATGGTGAGCTTTAAAGGCATGACTGACTCCATCATAATCCATTACCCAGAAAAAATGCTCAAGGTATCATGTTTTTAAAAATACATGATAATACAACTTTTTTATTCTAATGCAGAAAATTAAATAAGATATCCATTGTCTCTACGTTACCGGCGGGTCAGGACTAAGTTCCTTACTCTCACTATTGAACTATTTCATATTGTTGTACCGTTTTTGGTATAGAGTAGCTGCCCAATACAGTCGTCCCTCCTATCTGAGGCAGGTATATTCCAAGACTTCCAGTGGATGCCTGAAACAGTGAACAGTACCAAACAAACCCTGTTTATAATACATTTAATTGTTAGCATAGATCTTAGCAACCTCAGCATATATAGACTTTATTCTCTCCCCCTACTAAGAACTTTCATCTTTTCACTTAGAGGTAGAATGTCACAGTTTTTGTTTGGCATATCCAGATTGCTAGTGTCATTACTCTTATGCTTTGGGGTGACTGTTAAGCTGAACATAAGCACTGTGACACCATGGCAGCTCTGGTAACTGAGATAGCTGAAAGTGAGTGATGGACAAATAGTGTATATGTCACGGATACATTGGACAAAAGGATCATTCATGCATCAGATACAATAAGTGTATAGAGCTGGATTATATAAACTTCATGACATTGCCCAGCATTACCTGAAATGTTTAGATGGGACATGCTTATTTCTGAAGCTAGTGTTTATATATTCAGATCATGATTTGTCTTAAGTAACTGAACCCGTGGAAAGCAAAGCCATCAACAAAGGTAGAACTGCTGCATATACTCACTGAGCACAACTTGTTTGCCAAAAATGGACTTATAAAAGGGGGGGGAGAAGTTAATCTCTTGAGGGAAAATTGTAACAGGTAGTAAGAATGCTATTCAACAGTTTCTTTAAAATTTTGTGTTGCTGTTTACTTTCTTTGGAGACAGAAAACTCAAAGTGCTCAATTTTTCCATAATGAATAAATGTAGGCAGAATCTATCTCTTGCTGCCTAGTCTTATGTCAACTACATACACACTAGAGTTATCTAAAAGGAGGGAACCTTAATTCAGAAAAGGCTTCCATAAGATCAGGCTGTAGGCAGGCCTGTATGACATTTTCTTAATTAGTGGTTGATGAGGGAGGGCCCAACCCATTGTGGGTGGTGCCATCCTTGGGCTGGTGGCACTGGGTTCTATAAGAAGAAAGCAGGCTGAGCAAGCCATGAGGAACGAGTCAGTAAACAGCACCCTTCCATGGCCTCTACATCAGCTCCTGCTTCCAGGTTCCTGTCCTGTTTGAGTTCCTGTCTACTGTGATGTGGGGGAAACTTTCCCCCAACTTGCCTTTTGGTCACAGTGTTTTGTCACAGCAATAGAAACCCTAACTAAAACATTTTCATCGCCACTCTTATTAAACTATATGTTCCCATTCCAAAAGGAAAGATTGGAGGTACAGCAAGGAAAGACTGGACCAAATCAAGACTGAAACCAAGCAGGGTAGATAACAAAGCCTGTAGCTCCTGTAGCTCCATGTCCACTATCTCGGGCTCCCATTTGAAAGGACTCAGATGACTCTGCTGCTCCAGCCTTGCTGGCTGTGTTACAAACAAGGAATAATCTCAGTGTCACACTCAGGGACATATAAACAAAACCAAAGTGGCCCAACCAAGCAATTCTTTCTGTAAAAAGGGTTGCAATTCTTTCTGTAAAAAGGGTTCAACAAGATCCAAACTGGGCTGCCAAGAGTGCATTAGGTCAAGATGGCTTTCTGTGCTTTACCTGTGACTGCATCTGATCCCGTTGATGAGTGCTGAATGTCACAAGCTGACTCTATTGGCTAATTGGTGCAAAGGGGAAGGTTCAAGTTCAGGAAACGTGAGTCCCTGATGGGCTGGCAAACCCTGATAGGAAGAAACAAACAAACAAACAAAACAAAACAAAAACAAAAACAAAATTAACTTCTAACGGAAAAAACATATAAAAATGTTTTTAACCTCTGCAACATATGTCTCTCTTTTGGACTGGTTCAACTCTCTGCATGCATCTCTTCCTGGCAGATGTTTCACAGTTCTGGTATTTCCAGCATCTGGGGATCTCCACTTCAACCCAGGCTTCCCCTTCCCAGTCTCACACAGTGGACTCTCAATGCCTTCTTATGGGAACATTCTGTAGATGTAACCAACCGTCTTATTAAATAAGAAACACAGAACCAATGTAAAAGAAGAAAGCCAAGAGGTCAGAGCTCAGAGCTAAAATCTTACCCTTCCTCCTGCGGTGGTCCTACCTCTCCGAAAGAGACCTACTTGCTGTGTGTTTGTCTTTATATAGTCTTTCTGTTCTGCCTTCTCATTGCTTGTAAACCCAAATACATGACTGTCTCGTCACTGTCTGCATGTAC